GAAGGACCCCTAGCTCAAGGGCAGCCTGTGACAGGAGGGCTGGATGCGGCTGCCCTTCAAAGTGCCTGCTTTGATCCAGCCCTGACCCGGCCCAACCATCACTACCACACTACACTGTTCATTCCTGTGCTACGTAGGAAAAAAATACTACACCATTTTAAAAGTAAAATTTATATAAGGCACTTGAGGATACCAAAGGATGACTGTATATTCTCCAACAATATCAAACAATATTCAGTTGTGATCTATAGGATTTTCACTGGTTAATTTTCAGGAGGAGATCACCAGGCCCTTCTTCCTAGTCTGTCTAAGTCTGGAAGCTCTGCTGAAACCCTTCCACCACCGGTAACCCTGCAGGTATTTGAAAGGCCGGTAGCATGGTTTCCAGCACCACGGCAACACGAAAACCACCACAGTACGACCAACTGACACACGGGTGGGCCCTTAAAGTTAATGTCAGTTAAAGAACACTGGACAGGTAGCACATCATTTGCCATCCCCATAAATGTCAAGTCTGATCTAATATCTGAAAACACAGCCTTCCTTCCCCTTTCTCCCTCCCTTTGGAAATCATCTAAAAAGGTCACTTGTCTTGTGACACGTCTCTGTCCTCACCCCCGCAGTGTTACCCAGAGATGACACTATTACATCCTCTTTCATTTTGCATCAACTTAGGCTGTCCAGGCTTCTGGCTTCATACAAGATGGCCCTCCATCTCCCTGATAAATAACCACTCATTATTAACGGCTGACATCAACCATGCCCAGAGCACGCCATCCAACCTAGTCCTGCCTCCCTAAACCTAGCACAGCTTCACTAAAGAGAGTGCACCCTTTACCGTGAACACAGAGATGCTCAGCCTGAAACACGGACCGTGCCCTTGAATGGACGTTCAGACTCACAGCAGACACAGCATCACGCTGTGCCCTCACGCGAGAATTAAACCAAAGGTCATAGCCAGTGGAAAAATCATGACAAACAAATGTCTGTTTGCCCATCTTCTCAAAATATCTACCCAAAGAACTCCAACGTATTACAATGTAAAGAGCTGAATTTAACTACTCTCTCGATGGGTGTAACTTATTACCTTTTCTATTTATTCTCAACCACCCACCAGCTGTCATCTATCTACTCCGATTTATGGCAACCCCACGTGTGTCAGAGTTCTCCACAGGGTTCTCAATGGCTGATTCTTTTGCAAGTAGGTCGCCAGGCCTTTCTTCCAAGGTACCTCTGGGTCATCTTGAACCTCCAACCTTTCAGTTAATATTCAAGGTTGTTAACCGCTTGCACCACGAAGGGACTCTTCTCAAGCACCCCCTCTGCCTTAAGTAAGGAAGAGATGAGAGGGGGATCCTTTGTCCGATCCTGGTTAGAAGGACACCCATCCACAGGAAAGGGCAGTTGGTTAACAGGAACTGGGCTACCCTGCTTCATCAGAATCGCCTCGACAGCAATGGGTTTGTTTTTTTCAGGTTTTGGTCCATTCTTGGCTCCGCCCCGGACCCTCTGTGCATGTCTGTGATAAGCCCCCTCTGATCACCTCCCCCTGTGGCTTTGATACAGAGCGAATACAATGGACATCTTTCCCTCCAATGTTATGAACACTAATTGGATGCCATCTGCTGGGGTCTTGTGGTAAAAATGCACATGATAAAAAAACCCATGGCTTCCATGGGTCCTTTTTAATCACAAGCAGGTCAGTGCCCATCACCTGTCTGTGTCGGTAAAGTTGAGGGCCAACAAAACAAGACTACCCATGAGAACGATTAACACAATAGTCACAACAATGAACCCAAACATATCCGCGATCGTGCAGATGGTGCGGGACTGGGCAACGTTTCGTTCTGCTGTACATGGAGTCACCATGAATCAGAGCCGACTCGACGGCAGCGAACAAGAACAAATCAGTGCCAACTGCACAGTGGCAGGATGCTCTACGGTGCCTGGAAGACTGAGAGGCAAATGGAATTTTAAATTGCGAGTCATTTTAACCAGAATCCTGATATACCGAAAGCCTCCAAGAATGTGATTCAGTCGAGGAGAGGGTGACAAGCCCTCCAGGGGACGCTCTGATTGACTAATTCAACGGGCAGCCACTCTTGTGCACAGGAGACGCGTTTTACAAAGCCACACTCGCGATGATAAAGGAAGACAAGATACGCGAGCGAGCTGGCAATGGTCAGCGGTTTCAAATTCCCCACTCTATCGCTCTCTCTCCGCTTCATTTGAACGTTTTACAAGAACGTTGTGGAAAAAATGATAAGACGCTTAATCTTCTGTAAAATGAAGTATTCCAGTGCTTCGCCACTGGCCCTATTTCCAGAGCACTGTTTTTGCTGTACAAGCACAGTCAGTGCAAAAATATAATTACCGGACTGAAAAGTAACAAATATCTACGGAATATGCTGAGACCTGTTAAAAAGTACTAGAAGGAACAAGAAATATCACTCTACCTGATTACTTTATTGGCATAGCATAACTCTCCTATCCACCACCACCCAATGACAGTTTACCTTTTAAAAAATAACGGCCGTATGATTTTTCAGTGACCCTATGGTGCAAATGGTTAACATGCTTGACTACTAACCAAAAGGTTGGCGGTCTGAATCCCCCCAGAGGTGCCTTGGAACAAAGATCTGGTGATCTACTTTCAAAACATCAGCCACTGAAAACCCTGTGGAGCACAGTTCTGCTCTGACACACATGGGGTCGCCATAAATCGGAATCCACTCAACGGCAACTGGTTTTGTTTTACACCATGGACCGAGAGCTAAAACAGAATGCCTAGAGACCATTTTCTTTTTTTAACAGACGTTTGAGAGATTTTCAGGGTGAATTATGCAAGAACTGTGTCCAATAAACAAGCACATACATTATAAAGTTACATCATCCGCTGACATCCCAGGAAAAGCCAAGGGTTAATGGCTACGGTTTACGGCATCCCTCCAAATGACCCTGTGCAAGAAGATTTAACTTGACGACTGTTTGAACTTCACGGTCTGGAATTTCATCCACTTGTTTCCTGAGTACTTTTTAATTATTCCCCTGGGGATATTAATATTGGCTTCTTTTTTTAATCACTCTCAGGAAGGGAGAGTGGTTTCATTTTTTTCTCCCTTCTTTAAAATAACCAACTCCCTGTCTGGCTAGCTCAGGGACACTTTTATTTTCTTTAGCTTCAGTAATTACGGTAGAAGACAGAGATATCAAGATAGTCCTTCAAGAACTCTGGCTCTGGAATGAGGTTGCCTGGTTCAAATCCCAACTCTACCATTTAACCAACTGTCTAACAGTAAGTCATTTCAGCTCCCTAAGGCTCAGTGACCTTAGCTGTAAAGCAGGAACAGCAGTAGTATTGATCTCTTAAGTCGTTGGAGGATTAAAACAGCTAATGCATGGCAACATTGACCTGGGAGTTTGCAGATGGTGAACATTCAAATAATACTGATTTCACAATATGTTTTTTAAATACTAATTTTTTTTCTATGAGAACAATTCCAGAATGGTTATTTTCTCGGAGCCAACCCTGAAAAAGGTGGAAATGAAGGAAGAATAGCGCCAACCTATTCTCATACACCATCCAGGGCCTCGACAGCAGCACCATCTCCACTGTAACTCACATAGCATCCGCGGGAATTCACTGAGCACCTTTGCAATTAACAGGGCAGACACTGGGGGGCCTGCAGAATACATAAGGGCTGTGGTGCAGCCACTGTCCTCAGTCTAGCTAGGAGAGGAGACACACACAGAGACACACAGATTACTCTGATGTCTTGTACTGTAAAACGACCAGTGCACACGCAGGTTGCTGGAGCATCTTTTATGGGGAGCAGGACAAAAGCCTGCATTTTGTGGAAAGCTACAAAACCACAGAGATGTGCTCCAAACTAAGACAGCAAATCAGTAAGAGCTATCGAGTGAGACTGGGCTATCATTCTCATTTGGCTTAACTGGAGGCGCCGTTGTAGCAATACCCTCGCTAATGCGGGTGTCTGGCTTTGGAATGCCATCAGAATCACAACCTTATAATCAGAGAGTGTCCCAGTTGAGAGGAACCTTAGAAAAGCCTTTCGGGCAACTCAATTCTTCACTGTTCACACTAGGGACCATGACATCCGGCTCCCACTCATGCGCTCAGACAGGCGTGATGCCTCATCCCTGAACAAGATCTTAGGTGTGGCAGAGGGAGGGCACCCAATGGGTAGGAGAGGAAGTTAAGGGTGTCCCCAAAAAGAAAGGCAATGCCTGATGGACAGCTACCACCTATGAAACAAGCCTAAATCACGGTATTAGTCCTTCCTCTCAAATGCCCCCTCCATCCATCTACGGCTGTCACAGTCATATAACCCAGAAGGCCAGAAGTTCAGGGACATTTCTCCTGTCCAAAGTCCTTAACTGCCCTTGTTGCTTTCTTTGTGGTCTGCCGACCACAAGCATACGTGGCTGCCAGAATTAATCCAGTAAGTTCTGGAAGGGCAGAGGGCCTCTTTGGGGCTAGCATTCATTTCAGGCCACCCTTCAGGGTCAAGGAGAGGACTGAGGTACTCTGGGACAAAATGAGAAAGAGCCCCGATAGCGCAGTGGTTAAGTGCTCGGCTGCGCACCAAAGGTTGGCGGGCGGTTCAAACCCACCAGAGGCTCCCCGGGAGAAATATGCGGCAGTCAGCTTCCTTAAACATTACAGCCTAGGAAACCCTATGGGGCAGTTCTACTCTGCCCTATACGGTCGCCATGAGTCGGAATCAGCTCGGTAGCAACGGGTTTGGGTTCTGTTGTTGTTGTCTGGGACAAAATGTAAGTCTGCCTTGTACCTGGATGCGATGCGGTTGGGTTTGGGGGCAGTGGGGGGAGCATGTCGGAAGACCAGGGTACTTCTTCAGCTGCAGGAAATGCCTCCCTACTCCCAGCCACAGCGGGTCACCAGCCTAAGGGTACCAGTTCCCGCTGCCCCCAATAGTGCCGACCAAATCCCAGCGCGTGCGCATCGGCGCCCTCACCTTGGCCCAGGAAACCTTGTAGGAGACCCGCGGGTCCCAGCGGGCGGTGCAGGGCAAGTCCACATCCTCGGAACAAACCACCTTCAGGTCTCGCGCGGCGGGCGCCAAGCTGCAGGCTGCAAGAGAGCAGAGCGCGCTCCGTGAGCAAGCGAGAACATGGGGTGCCGCGCAAAGGCGGGGGGTGACAGGCGCGCTCGGGCCCTACCGCAGCTCAGGAGCAGGAATTGGAGGCCGCGTGTCATGGCTGGAGTGCTGCGCCGCTGCCTCGGGCCGCCGGCTCTGGCGCGTTGGCGCCGCGCCGCCCTCTTGTACCCGCGCGCACAGGGACTTCCCCACGCGCAGCCCTGGGGGGCCCCTCGGCCGGGGAATCCCCAGTACTGCGGAAGCAGGAGGCGCGGCCTCTCCGCCGCGCGGCCGCCGGGGAGCCCCCGTCCCGCCAGTGCGCCCCCGCTCCCGCCTCACGCGCGTCTCCGCCCCCGCGCGCCGCGCCCCAGCTGGTCCGCCCCCAAGTTAGCGTCGCTACTGCTGGGCAGCGGCGGCGACACTGGCTGCGTAACGCGCTGCGCTGTGGGCTCTGCAAGCCGCGCTCGCATATAGGACACTCCCATCTGACCCCAAAGCCGGGAGAGAGGCCCATTTTACAGAGGCTAAATCAAACTCAGAGGTCCGGAAGCGCCCAGCCCGCCAATGTTGACGTCATTGGGCAATCCAGGTCCAAATCTCTCCAGATTTCTATGGTGACCAAAGACTTGTTAGATGTTTTTTTTTTTAATAATTCATGTGAAATTCACATAACATTAAAGTAACTATTTTAAAGTGAACAATTGAATGTCTTACAGTACATTCACAGTATCGAGCAACCACCACCTCTATCTGGACTCCTTCGATTTTTAAAAGGAACTCCCATGAGTCTGTAATACTTAGTCCTTAGCTTCCTGCAGCGGTTATCAGTATCTTCTAGCTTGTTTAAATTATTTCAGCAGAGGAAAACGCTTCCTATTTATATATATAAATATAGAGAGAGTCCCTTGGAGGCACAAGGAACCCTGGTGGCGCAGTGCCTAAGAGCTTGGCTGCTAACCAAAAGGTCAGCAGTTCAAATCCACCAGCTGCTCCTTGGAACCCTTATGGGGCAATTCTTCCGTGTCCTATAGGGTCGCTATGAGTCACAGTGGTCTCCAAGGCAACGGGTTTGGTTTGGGTTGTTTGGGGGGTGGCACAGTTACTCTGGGCTGCTAACTGAAACATTGGCTGTTCAGTCCACTTAGAGGCGCCTCAGCAAGAAAGGCCTAGAGACCTGCTTCAGTAAAATCTGCCACTGAAAATGCCCTGGATCACAACATTCGGCTCATGGGGATGGTGCAGGACTAGGCAGCATTTTGTTCAGTTGTGCATGGGGTCCGCATGAGTCAGGGGAATGGAGGGCAGCTATATATGTATATATATATACACACACAGAATTTTTGGAAAAGGTTTTTAAAAATTCTGGAAGAAAACAGCAACCACCTATAATCCTTCCAGAAGTAACTTCTGTGAACATTTTGGTGTATTTACTTCAGTCCATGTTGGGTGCCATCACGTTGATTCTGACTCAGCGATCCTATAGCCCCGTAGGGTTTCCTAGGTTGTAATCTTTATGGGACTAGGTCGCCAGGTCTTTTCCTGGCTAGAGGGTTTGAACCGACAACCTTTTGGTTATCTGCCCAGCGCTTCATCACTGCGCCACCAGGGCTCCTTGTTCAAACCCGATGACCGAACAATTCCACTGCATTAATGAGGTGTTGCATCTTCTCCAAAATGTATGTACCGTGTACCCATTTTCACTCCCCTCAGCTGCGCTTGGCATTGTCAGATTTTCTTTTTTATTTTTTGCTGGTCTAATGAGTGTGCAATATTAGGTCCTTTTTGTTTAGTTTACATTGGTTACGAGGAGGATGGAGCATCTTTTCATGTTTAAAGGACACGAGTTTCCTCTTCTGAAAATTGCCCATTCATATCCTTTGGACTTTTTCTTTGTAGTTGTTTATAAGTTCTGGGACAAATTCTTTCTTGGTTATGTGCATGCCAAATATTGTCTCCAAGTCGTAAGTTTGTATTTTCCGCTTTGTTTATGATTAATGTACAAAAGTTTTTTAAACAATGTAGTCAAATTTATCAGTCTTTTCATTTATGGTTGTGCTTTCTGGTGTTGGGTTTAAAAATATTCTCCCTCATTTTCCTCCAAAATTTTTAAAGTCATACTTTTCACATTTAATATGATTTACTATAGGGCTCTAACTTCACTTTTTCCATTTGGATAACCAATTGTTCCAATGCTACTGGCTAAAAGCTTGCCTTTCTCTTCTGATTTGAAATAGCATTTCTGTTACATACAAATTTCCATATAAGTGTGCATCTAGTTCTAGAATCTCTATTCCATCTCCCCCGTGCTAATATCACGTTTTCTTATTACTATAGTTGTATTACGTGGTGGAGTGTGTGAGCCCACATATGTTGAACTTCCTCATCAAAATTGTCTTAACATTCTTCGTTCTTTGTTCTATCTTATATTAGAATCAACTCGTGAATCTCAAAACACCTTGTCTGAGTTTTAATAGGAAGTATACTCGATTCATATACAGTCATGTTCTGCATAACGTCCGTTCAGGCAACGTCCAACGGCATACGGTTATAATAGAGTTCAGAAATCCCGACTGGAGAATGGGACGTAGTGGAGGTCACCTGACCTATCCAATGCAGCAGCGTCCCAGTGGCTATTTAGTCAATACAGGTACACTACAGTATCCCATAGAGCTTTGCTAAGTACAGACAGTTCCGAGATTACGAATTTACGACTTAAATACGACTCGTAGTTCCAGACCAACGCCAGTAAAGCCTGTTATATTAAAAACTTGAGGTACATACAGTGGTTCATAATAACGAATGGGCAGTACTTTGTGGCATGCATCAAAACATTATTATTATTGCATCGTGATGGTCAAGGTGTTTGGGTGCATCTGGAAGTGTTTCTTTAATTTTTTTTTTATATATAGAAGGGTATACTATATAAGACAAACTTTTTTCTTTTTTTTCTTTTGTGTATTGTTATAGTTTAAGTGAAAGTTTACTTTTCAAGTCAGTCTCTCATACAAACATTTATACACACGTTGTTATGTGACCCTAATTGCTCTCCCTATACTGTGACAGCACACTCCTCCTTTCCACCCCAGATTTCCAGTGTCCATTCAACCAGCTCCGGACCCTCTCTGCCTTCTCATCTCGCCTCTGGAAACTGCCCATTTAGTCTTATGTGTCTACTTGAACTAAGAAGCACACTCTTCACGAGTATCATTCCATGTAAGACAAACATTTTTACAGTATCTAATGTCAAACATTTGACGTTAGATACTGTAAAAATGACGTGGGGGCGGGGCAGTCTCACCTCCTCTAACTTCACAAGGAGGAAGGAGAATCAAGATCAACAGCACAAAGCTGATTCCTATGAGGTGGAGGTCAGACATGCCTCCTCTCTCTGCCATCTTTACCAACTCTGACACCAGCCATCCCTGCCACAGCACTCTCTACTTCTCTGCTGAGTTCAATAATTCATTGCAATGGCCACACACAACTCACGGACCATAGTCATGATTATTGAGCTTATTAGGGAGGTAACAGGTTACAATTCAGGTTCAGGAACGTTCAGGATACAGTTCTTCGATCAGGACAGCCTCTTCCCAGCCGTGCCCGCAGGTATGCCTCTGTCTGGCCTGTCGGCCTCTGCCCTGCTTGGACAAGTGTTACAGAACTCTTTTAGCTCCGCCAGTAAGTGTCCGGAGGCACCCCACTCCACTAGTAAGCCTTGGGCCTAAGGCACTCAGCTCTAGCTCCATGAGTGGGCACATCTAGCTCCACCAAGTGCGCAGGGGCACCCTACTCCTCCAGCAAGCCTCCAGCCTGAAGGTGCTCAGCTTTCTAACTGTGAGCCAGGAATCCCACTGCAACGTCTCCTGCCAGTCTCTCCAGCCACTGTTTCTCTGCTACCGCTTCTCATTGTCTCCAGTGTTAAAGCTCTCCCTCTCGGTCTCCTGGTTCCAGCAGCTTCTCAGCACAGGGATCCTGGGTCTAAGGGACATGCTCCACTGCTGGCTTTTCTATCTTGGTGGTGGTGAGGTTCTCTCCTCCTGCCTTTGGGATGGTTCATTTCAAGCCTAGTGGGATGGAAAAGCTGACCAATGCCTTCTTTAGAGTTCCATAGACCTTATTCACATAGTCCCACTCGGTCACTGTGTGAGTCACTAAGACTATGACTAGGAGGGCCATATTAAGGTATTAACTGCACTGTAGATACGCACTGTACCTAACTGTTCCAATTTATGTACACATTCGACTTGAAGACAAGCTTAGGATCAGAGCTTGTTCATAATCCAGGGACTGCTCATATAAGGTATGGTGTTCCCACAACGTCCAAATCACGTAACTCCCTATTTCATAGACCATATCATGGACATTAAGCAATGCATGACCGTATTGCAGAAAATGAACAACTTTAGAAAATTGACTCTACAAATCCATTAATTCTATGAATCTTTCCATTTGTTTAGGTCTTCAAGAAATTTAAAATTTTTATCCATAAAGGTTTTCCACATATTTGAGTAGATTTATTCCTAGATAGAGAGATGGCTGCCATTGAGTGAATTCCAACTCATGTGAACCTTACAAACAACAGAACAAAACATTGCGCAGTCCTGCGTCATCCTCACAGTCACCAGCATGTTCAACTCCATCATTGTCCCAATCCATGTCACCAAGGGTCTCCCTCTCCCTGACTGACCCTCTACTTCACCACGCGTGATATACTCCTCCACCAATTGAACCCCTTTGATAATGGATCCAAAGCAAGCCAATCAGACAAAGTTCTGTTGTGATTCATAACGTTTTCATTGGCTAATTTTTAGAAGTAGATCACCCAGCCTTTCCTCCTAGTCTGTCTTAGTCTGGAAGCTCTGCTGAAACCTGTCCACTGTGGGTGACCCTGCTGGTATTTGAAATACTGGTGGCATGGCTTCCAGCATCACAGCAACACACAAGCCACCACAGTAGGAGAAACTGACAGACGGTGATGGAGATTTATTCCTAGGAACTTTCATATTTTGGGCTGCTATTTTCACCTGTAGGGCCCTGGTGGTGCAATGGTTAAGCGTTTGGCTGCTAACCAAAAGGTCACCAGTTTGAATCCGCCAGCCACTCTTTGGAAGCCCTATGGGGCAGTTCTACCCTGTCCTACAGGGCCACTATGAGTCCATCGGAATGGACTCGATGGCAAAGGGTTTGGTTGTTTGGTTTTTT